GAGTGAGAGCAAGCTGGGCTCAGGTCCTGATCGCCAGTCCTACTCATTTCAGCCTGTGCTCCAGGGCTCTGCCCTCAATGCCTTTCACCTACTTTGTTAACAGCACCCTCCTGATCCTTTGAGGAGCTCTTTCCTTAACCCAGATTTCCTATGGGGAAATCTCACTCTGACATCAATCCCACATCCTAGCTGCTCATTATGATGGGCTCCAGACTGGGCAGGAGACCAAGACAGGCCAGAATCTTCCCCACACACCCACTTTGAGAGGCCAGGGGGCTGTGCTACAAGGATCAGTAGCCCTAGAGCTGATAAGAAAGACCTACAGGATGACAGTCAAGTAAAAAAGAAAAAAGAAGAAAAAAGAAAGACCTTCACATATGCCACACACTGGATCCAGCTACACCTGACACCATTCCTCCCCAGAGAAATTTCCATTTCCATGGGCTCATAAATGTTCAGGCCCTCCTCTTTTCTGTGATTAGTTTTCCAGGTAGTTAATGTTGCCTTTCTGTTGTTACAATCTCTCGAACACCCCCAGAAGCATGGTGTCAGAGGGGACAAATCCTGAAGTACAGGCTTTGCTGAGCTAAGGTCAGGGAGGAGTCATGAGGATGGTGCCATATCTTGGCTGATACACAGTCTCAACAGCTTGGGCTGAAATACAGCCTCTGTGATCTGGAAGTGAGACGTGGAGCCAGGAGGCTGGCTTTAGGGCATCTCGGGACGGCAGCCTCTAGTGAGTATTTCCTAGAACAACAGAAATGCCAACAAAAGCCAGACCTGCAAGCTTCACTCCTGACAACCCCTCCAAATGAGGCTGTGTCTAATTGTGTACAACAATCCCTGATGGTTGAGAATCAGGTCAGATCATTGGAGCAGAAGTTTTCTGCCCCTGCTAAAGGTAGTGCCAAGGCAGGCAGGGAGACTAGACTGAGCCCCAGAAAGGCTGACCACCTCCTCAAGCCCTCACAAGGACCTGCTGTGGCTCTCACTGTGCAGCTTGAGGACAAGGAGCTGCCCACCCCATCCACTGCCCACAGCTTCCCTTATAAACTGACTAGGGCCTAAGAGGAGACCCAAGGCCTACTGTTGAGGGCAGACTCCCCAGGGCCTGGATCTAGATCCAAGGACTTTGAGAAACTAGTATTAGCTTTGGTTCCTCATCCATGTATCCAAATGCCAATGACTAGGGGAGCTATAAAGCCAGACAGGCCTCAAAGTTGCAAACCAGTCTTCCAACAAACAGCACATCTCCCAATCATCTCAAGTGTCTCACTCCCACTAGGAGAGAACCTGTCTACCAGCAGCAGTCCAGAGGAGACTCTTTATAAATGTCCATTTTAGGTGGTCAGAAGGCCAAGAGCCAAGGCAGGGCTTCCCATGGAACAGGGGTGGAGGCAGTCTTGGGGCTGAAAGAACACAGTCATATAGAAAACCCACTGTCTTGACCCAGCAGGCACAGCAATAAGCTACAGACCAGCCACCACCAGTGTGTTTCCCTTTCCTTCTTTTTCCAAATAGCAGACTTCACTGATGCTAAGACCTATCCGTTGATTCAGACTGGACAGGAATGAGTGGCATCAAGGAGCTTGTATTGTACCAGTTCTGCTAATAGCTACTGCATGTTGCACTTATCCTTGAGGGAGCAGACTTGGCTTCCTCCTTGCTGCTCTCTCCCTGCTGCTCTCTCCAGAGTAAGATCCAGCTGTTCATCTTAAGTGTCTTCAGTAGTTGCCTGTTACAAATGGCACTTTCTCTACGGGAGCTGGACTAGGGACCTCAAGAAACAAAAGAGGTCAAATCTCTGGAGGAAGGAACTCACTAACCTGACTGGAGAGATTTTACATACTGTACCAAGAAAGACCCAAGAGAGCTTGGAGGAAACACACTGTGAGCTCAAAGAAAAGGGGAGCTCCTGGTGCAGAGGCTGCCTAAACTGTATCAGAGAATCTTGCAGCTCATCAATGTGCAGAACAAAGAAAAAAGCTGATGAGGGGCTGGGAAGGTGGCTCGGTGATTTTAAAGAGCTTGCCTTGCACGCATGAGGCCCTGGGTTCAATTCCCCAGCACCACATAAGCAGAAAAAGCCAGAAGTGGTGCTGTGGCTCAAGTGTGCTAGCCTTGAGCTGAAGAGCTGAGGGACAGCGCCCAGGCCCAGAGTTTGGGTCCTATGACCCACAAAAAAAAAAAAGCTGAGACAAGACAATGGCTCAAGGCAAATCAAAGGGACAGAACTTCAAAGATGATGGAGGGCACCAAGGTAGATCTTGTGTGGTGAACACTTGGGGCTCCAAGAGGGAGAGGTAATGAAATAATCAGCACAGCCAGAAACTGATGATTCATGCCTATAATCATAGCTGGTAGTGTCCAGGCCCTGAGGTCAAGCCCTAGGACTAGCACCAATTAAAGAAGAAGAAAAATAAAAGAAATAATCATCACAGGAAGATTAAACACATTGTGGAGGACAAAGTAAGGGAGGTAGAGAAATAGGAAGAGAAAGAATACAGGCATTTTATGGTTAATGTACATATGTGAAAATGAAACCAGGGAACTTAAGGGTGTAAGTGGGGTTGGGAAAGACAGGGGAGAATGATGAAATGGGTGATATTGATTAAGATGCATTGAACTTATAAACTGATTTGTACAACTACTTTTGTACAACTACTAAAAGATGATGATGATGATAATAATAATAAATGATCAGCCATTTTCAGGGGATTTAAAGTTCAGTGGAAGACAGACAGTCAGGAGCACTTGGAACCAAATGCATAGGGATCTTCCAAGGGTTTCACAAAAGTGGGTACTAGGGCAGACAGACCTTCCTAGATAGCCCATGAAACCAAAGTATTCTTGACTATTTTAATAGAGTAAATGGAAGATGTTCCTGGCCCAAACATACCAGGATGGTAGAGTTCCATATAGAGTATGTACCTGTCACCTGCACCTGAACAGTCTAGGGACTCAAGTGTGAGTATGAGGGTATACTTGACCTGGCAGGAGGGCTTCCAAGATACTATTATTCTGGGAACCCAGGGGCCTCCTGCTGCTACCATCCTCATCTTCTCACAGGAAACCAGGTCACCCATCGCTATTTCCTTCCAGGTGTGGCTGTCACCCATTGCATGGAGAGACCCACCAGACTCCCAACCCAGATGAGTCAACATGGTGCACACCCAGGCAGCCTTGTGCATGGTCTCAAGCACACACAGGGTCAGGCAAACCTCGGCATGCCAAGCAGCAGGTTGTGGTCACTGCAACAGGACATGGAGGAAGGCAGAGGGGAGGCAGGCAAGGGGCTACATGCAGTCACCAGGGGATACTGAGGGATGGGGAGCTAGCAGAGCCCACACCCAACAGCCCAAGCCTGCAATGGCAGCTCCTTACCTCCCTGGCAGGACCTCTGACCACCAGGACTGTGTTCCCCCAAGAAGCTGGAAGCATGCTGGAGAGAGTAGAGAGCAGGAGACAGGGAGCAATATATACTGAGCCAGGATGACAGAAGAAAGGACTGAAAGGACACCCAAGGGAGGGTTTTTGGTCCCAAGAGATCCAAAACAACACAAATGTCAAAGGGAGATTATCCCCAAGACTGGCCCCATTCCTGAGGCCCAGAGAGGGGGATGAGTGAGCAAAGGAGAGGAGCGTATCCCACCCAGAATGGACCCTTCCAATAGGCAGCTGCCTTCCCACAAGCTGCCTCTACATCTTCTCAGAGTAGCCAAAGTAGCACATTTCCTTGGATGGTGTAAATTCAATGAGGAAAAGACTCAGGGACCCTGGGTGGACAGCCAACCCTCAGGAAAGGCCCTCTTGTTAATCAAGGAGGATGTACCCTCCACAAATGTCACAGTCACTGGAACCCAGAACAGACAGACAAATCATGTGTGTTAGGGTAGGAAGGGGGTTCACGGATTCCAAGACCAGGGTCAGAGACTGGAGCTTCTAGCCTTGGATTTACCATGCATCTAGGTAACTTTGGGCAAGGTACCTCTTGTCTCTGGGCCTCATTTTCCCCATCTATAAGATGGAGAAAGGATAGAGACACTCAAGAGAGGATGTTTGTTTCAAGACATTCATGTCCCTATGTTCCTACTAATACAGAGAAAATGTTCCTATCTATAAGAGAGGCTAACACGTACCCTACTGATGCCAGGCACCAAATCCCCACAGACCATAGGCAGATCTTTTATTAGACTTTTCTCTGGGGGTTGTAATAGGGAGATAATCAAATATCCAATGTTCCTGGCAACAGCAAAGGCAGAGGGTGCTCCCAGGATCTCACTGCTACCAGTGCCCACCTGACAACTTATGGGTCCAGGGAAGAAGGAGCCTGGAAGCTCCAAGTTTGGGGCAGGTCTTTTACTAACATTTAGCACATTCGGGGCCAATTCCGTGGCACTATTTCCCTGACTGGACCAATCAGTCTCTCATAACATTCTTCTATCATTGATCCTCTGTGTCTATCAGTTCCCTCCCTCCAGAGTGTCCTTGACCCTGGGAAGGCTGGAAGCTACTCCAGGGCAGAAGTGCTTATCACTGTATCCCAGGAGCTCCATGCTGGGCTGTTCACAGTGGGTGCCCAATACCTAAAGAGTAACAGACTCCTGGGCAGCAGTGAGTACGATGTGCAACTGGATAACAAGATGGCGCTTGAGCCTATTTCAACATGTTTAAGCAACCTGCTGACTCCTTCTGGTCATGGGAACCCTGAGAGGGTAGGTATAATCTTGCCTCTTGAATAAGTAAACTGAGCCTAAGCAAAGTATAAGAGGCTATTTGCCCAAGGGTACACAGCTAGGTAACTCATCCACAGAGACAGGGTGACCTGGCTACCATGAAGAGGTGCCAACACAGGATACCAGTGCCTGGCATTACCCGGTTAAGTGTCTGAACACTACTGTGTCCACTGCCCAGAGCTGTTGCCTGCTCCAGGTGCTTGGGGGATAGAGTGGAAGGACTGGGCAAGGGTAATAGGGAATCCAAGATGGTTCTTATGCTACCTTTGATGACAAATGCCTCTGCCAGCAGTCGCATCTGATACAGAGGCTTGTTCTCCACGGACATGTCATCAATCCCAGCCCGGGCATACATGCTGATGGCATCTCGGTAGGAGCCCTCCACATAATGTAGCTTTCCCAGGATCAGCATGGCCTCACACATGTACCGTGGCTGAAAGGACAAGGATATGTTAGCAGGCTCCTGCTCCCAAAGCTTCTACCCCAGACCATCAGGTACCCTGAGATGAAGACCCAGCTTGCACTGAGCCATAAGCCATTAACACCTCTCATCTTCCTGGAAGCCTTCCCTGATTCCACACTCCCCTCACCATACCTGGGTCCATGGCCCATTTTGTGACTCTTAAGGAGATGTTTATAAAGTCCCTCATTTCTTCATTGTGCGTGGGAGCCTAGACTCTTACACCACTACAAAGCAAGCCCGGCCTTTTTTCCTCTTCTACAGCCCCAAAGACTTTAGCATAGGCTAAAGGAACTCCACACTTATTCTGAACACAAGTGGGGAGGCAAGAGTGTATCAACTTTTATGGGATCTGAAGCTTATAATTAAGATGGGTATATTTATGCGTGCACACACATAGGCACACATTCACAGCCCAACCAGGACCTGTAGAGGAAGAAGAGTTACATCAACAGTAGGGATAGGAGACAAGAGAGGGCCTCATCTTATCAGAAGTAGGGCAAAGTACAGACAGGGCTTTTGGCTTTGAATTCTGTCCAAAAGTGCCTGAATTCAAACTTGCTTTTTTCCCCCTTCTTACTCAAGTGCTACTTGTACCTAACTCTCCACACAACCTGCCTGACTCTTCCTGGTCATGAGAACCCCAAGAGGGTAGGTACAACTTATCTTACAAATAAGTAAACAGAGCCCAAGGCCTTGTCAGGATCTCCTCAGGAGATCTGGTCAATACTGATCACCTCACCCTAGCATGCCTAGCATGGACTATATTCACAGCCAGAGCGCCCAGAGCTGCTGACTAAGGGAGTCTGTGCTGGCCCTGAACTGGAGCAATCCAGCCCTGAGCTCTGGTCTTAGTATGGATCCTGTCTACTCTGGAGGGCTCCCACCTCTTGAGACCATTCACTGCAGCCCATCTCCATTCCTATGCTCAGCTGGCCCACTATGCTTTAAGCTAGGCTCTGGCCACTGCTCCTGCTACAAAGCTACCAATCAGTTCTACAAAGTTCCCTACAGATACAGATCTGACCTCAATCATGGCAGGAAGATACTCTCAATCTCCCCCCAGGAGAGGTAAGAGTCAGGGGTACCTGTGACCCCAGATTCTACTATTCTCCACCATGCACAGCCTTCTAAGAAGGTAATTTAAAAAACAAAAAACAGGACAAAGCAAAACTAAGCCCCGGGGAAGCCAATTTCTCCTTTCACACTGGTCTCTGTTTTTCATAAATGAATAACCTTCTGTTGCCTTTGCTTACTCTGGTCCCCATTTAGCCTTCACAGATCCTCCTCCATCCCTTGAGCCTTGTTCAGGCCTTCCTCCTCTTGGAAGTCTGCCTGACCAAAGGAGCTTTCTGCTGAGCTCCTACAATGTCTCCACGAGTTCATCCACTCCACCCCTGCCCATCTGTCCTCCCTTTGACTACTGATCAACTGAATTTACCAAAAGTATTGCTAATTCCCCCACAGAGGCCTCCCACTTCCTGGGCCAGAGCCACAGAGATGACACATTTTCAGCCCACAGTGCTTCCAAACTAGATGATGAGTCCTCCATTCTGTGCACTGGTCTCAAGTTGATGGGCTCATTTCCTCCCTGCCTAGACTTTATTCCTCATTGGTGAGAGGAGGACAAGAACCTCCACTCCTCACTTCCCATCCTAGCAATACTAAGGGCATTAACAGGGCAAAGTCCAGAAGATAGCTTTCAACTGTTCCTGAGGAAGGAGCTAAATAAATACAGGGTATGAGTAATTATTATAAGCACCTTCTTGTACAGTACACGGGGAGGGGAAAGGATACAAGGCTCAGAGGACACATTCCAGGCCACAGTGAAGGGATGTGGCTAGTGATGGCTCCTGTTTATAATAGAGCTTCCCCAAGCTGGTGAAAAATTAAGAACAACATAGTAAATACTTTGTAAGCCTAAATCTGTACTATTTTTAAATCTCCTCTGAAAGTTGTCTTTGTTGTCTCTTTCTTCTTCTTTTTGGTGCCAGTCCTAGGGTCTGAACTCAGAGCCTGAACACTATCCCTGAGCTTTCTTGCTCAAGATTAGAACTCTATCACTGAGTCACGGCTCTGCTTAGTCTTTTTTGGTAGTTAACTGGAGATAAGAGTCAGACAAACTTTTCTGCCTAAGCTGGCTTTAAACTTTAATTCTCAGAATCCTCATAGTAGTTAGGATTACAGGCAACAGCTAAGGGTACAGCAACTGTATCCTTGGTAATGGTACAGTTTTACTGTAGGTTTTTACTTTTGTTTTTAATGCCCTTATTTGGTAATATTAAAAGTCAGCTAGGAAGCTGGGCGCTGGTGGCTCACGCCTGTAATCCTAGCTACTCAGGAAGCTGAGATCTGAGGATCGCAGTTCAAAGCCAGCCTGGGCAGGAAACTCCGTGAGACTCTTATCTCCAATAAACCACTAGAAAACCAGAAGTGGTGCTGTGGTTCAAGCGGTAGAGTGCTCACCTTGAGCTGAAGAGCGTAAGGACAGTGCCCAAGACCAGAATTCAAGCCCCACAACCAAAAAAAAAAAAAATGTCAGTTACCTCCATAGGAAGACTGTGGGATTCTGAATTTGCAATGTTTTTGGTCTGTCAATCCAAGTCAGGGAACCACAAACCCCAACATAGTACAGAAATGCTCTATAGAAAATTGCTCAGCAGGCCTGGGAATGTGGCTTTGTGGTAGAATGTTTACCTAGCATGCATGAAGCCCTGGGTTCAATTCCTCAGTGCCTATATATAAACAGAAAAAGCCAGAAGTGGTGCTGTGGCTCAAGTGGTAGAGTGCTAGCCTTGAGCAAAAAGAAGCTTGGAGATAATGCCCAGGCCCTGAGTTCAAGCCCCAGGACTGGCAAAAAAAAAAAAAGAAAGAAAAAGAAAAAAAGAAAAGGAAAGGGCTGGGAATGTGGCTTAGTGGTAGAGCGCTTGCCTTGCATGCATGAAGCCCTGGGTTCAATTCCTCAGAACCACATAAATAGAAAAAGCCGCAAGTGGCACTATGGCTCAAGTGATAGAGCACCAGCCTTGAGCAAAAGAAGTTCAAGGACAGTGCCCAGGCCCTAGTTCAAGCCCCAAGAGTGGTAAAAAAAAAAAAGAAAGGAAGGAAGGAAGGAAGGAAGGAAGGAAGAAAAGAAAGAAAGAACGAAAGAAAGAACGAAAGAAAGAAAGAAAGAAAGAAAGAAAGAAAGAAAGAAGTTGCTCAGCTGGGTGGACAGGGCGCTCCCCTACTGTGTGGCTCCTTTGCCACCTATGCTCTGTGTCTCACTGACCTATCGACTTAAAGGAAGAATGACCTAACAGAGATCCCTGGTAGGGGAAAGAGATAAGAAAACATTTCATCGTAAGGTGAGACACTATAGGGAGTGCTAGCATATCATAAATAAATCTAAGTTTCTTGATCATAATTTTATTTCCATTTCAGTACTTTGGGTGGGGGTGGGGGTGTCAGCACCACTAGAGACCACTAGAGCTTGAAATACCAAGACAGATGGGCCTGGATTCAATTTTACACCTGCTAGTGTGTCCTTGGCGAAGTAAGTGATCATCTCTTAGGTCTCTGAAATGGGGCTAAGTTGCAAAAGGTGACTGAGAGGTCTCTGTGGGCTGCTGCATTGGCTGGGGCTCAGTGGATAACAGAAGTTAGGACAAGTAGCTTGTTTTCACCAAATTCCTGAGACTGGGCCAGACAGGATCATAGTAACTACCAAGTTCGGCATTTTAGGACCACCTCTCCTTTCCATTCATGAGAGTTACTTGGAATACAGGGGACTCCAGCTGAGATTGCATCTGCTGCCAAAAGGGCACCCAGCTATACCCTTTAGAGTAAGAGAGAAAGACCTCAATTTGCTTCTAACATTTTATTTTTGCCCAATCAGCACCAAGCTTTTGGCTTTGGCCTGGATAGCAATATCTCCACGCTACTCGTGCCTATATATGTCTGTTAAATAAAACATAGTAAAACTTGTATTAATGAGTGGGATTGGCAAACAAAATGGTTTGCACATCAACAGCTGCAGAATCTATTCACATTCAGTTGTTTTTGTGAGTTTGTCTTTGGCAGTACTGAGGTTCGAACTCATGGCCCTGTGCTCGTTTGCTTGTCTGGTGCTCTACTACCTGACCCATACCTCCAGCCTATTATTCACTACAAATGAGGTTCACGCAGAGAGAGTTCCATCTGAAAGCTCTCACCAAAAAGAAGCAACTTGTCAAATATGTCTTAGGGCTCTATGGAAAGCTCTGCTGAAGGATGTACAAAAGCAAAAAAAGCCAAGTGGACACATCCTCTCCTTTGAGGACAGGAGTGAGGCATTCCAGGATAACAGGCATTTCAGGATCTCTATCGGTTAAATTACTTGTCCATTGGATACATTTTCAAATAAGCCTGCATCATATTTATTTTAAGAACACATAAAAATATTTAATGGAGTCTACTAGAAAGACTCAAATGAGTCAGGTACCAGTGGCTCATGCCTATAATCCTAGCTACTCAGGAGGCTGAGATCCAAGGATTATGGTCCACAGCCAGAGTAGCAGGAAAGTCCATAGACTCTTACCTCCAATTAATCACCAAAAAAAGCTGAAAGTGGGGCTGTAGCTCAAGTGCTAGCCTTGAACAAAAACGAAACAAAACAAAAAAGCTCAGGGACAGCATCTAGGCCCTGAGTTCAAGCCCCAGGACCAGTACCAAAAATAAAATATTAATAAATAAATATTTTTGCAGAAGCTTGGAACCTATCATAGGAGTGAACTTTTCTGATGGACACATGAGGAACTAGATGGACCCAGAGGCCAAGAAACAGGCTTAATACCAAGCAGCTATTTTAACTTAACACAGACCTCCCAATGCTAAAACAATCCCCCATCAAGGAAGCAGAAACCTCATGCTGCGAGTATAGATGCTCCCTTCTCCCTTGCACTGGCCCCCTCCACCGCTCTGTATGTCAGTCCCCAGCCTCTGGCCTCATATTCCTTCACAGCCCTGTTATTCTCGTCACCATTCCCCTTTGCTTTTGCTAAACTCAGCAACCTTAAGGAGATTCTTATAAGAGGATTCTTCAATTACATAATGCCTCCTCTACATGGAATGCTCAGCATACCTTTATATGTTCAGACTCTGCCTCTTCTTCCAAAACCAGCACTCAGAAGGGCCCAATTCTAATACTACCAGTACTCCTGGTCTGCTCTCTAGCTCACTCCAGGGAAATGCCCCTTCAGACTGACCTCCTCAGACACTACTACATGCACAGTCCATCTGGGACTTCCCAACAAACCTGCAACTTCCTGGAGGGCAGGTTTGTCCTGATTGCCCTCAGCAAGCATAGCATGATGCCTGGTACAAAACAGGCCACAAAAACATGTTTAAAGGAGTAAATACATGGGAATATCTCCTGCCTGAGTCTCTAGTGACATGCAAGTACTGCTAGTATAGAAGGAGATATACTTTAATCCAGAAAAGTAGTTTCAACTCTGATACACGAATCACTGGGAGATATTGCTGAGACACAGGGTCTGATTTGCATTTTGTACATCTTACCAACTCCCCAATGATGCCCACACTTTTAACGAGTGGATTATACTTAGTGCAACACAGTTCTAGAGTAAACTGTGAATATTTTACTTCATATCTTGGAGACATCAGGTGCTTAACAAATGCACATGAATTTACACTACTTGCTCTACTCTAGAGTTTTTGTTTCTACTCTGCATGTTTGCCTGCTTCCAGCTAGATCATGGGCTTCTTGAGTTCTTACTTCTCTCTAAGAACCCCCCAAAGGAGTCCAAAAAAACACGTTCACGTTAGGTCAACCAAGTGCTGTTAAATTAAAAAAAAATTCCTATGGTCACAAGCACAAGATCAAGACACATTTAAAAAGATAAAAACATGGGCTGAGAAGGTGGCCCAGTGGTAGAGTGCTTGCCTTGCATGCATGAGGCCCTCGGTTCGATTCCTCAGTACCACATAAGCAGAAAAAGCCAGAAGTGGAGAGCTAGCCTTGAGCTGAAGAGCTGAGGGACAGCACCCAGGCCCAGAGGTCAGGCCCCACAACTGGCAAAATAAATAAATAAATAAAAAGATAAAAACAGGTGAAATTAATTTTAATAAAATTTCCTTTAATCTAATACAAGCAGAGGATTATCATGTGAGTATATAATCAATATAAAGTTAATGCCCTTTTTTATGTTGATTTTGTTTTTGTAGTCCTGGACTAAACCTAGAACCCTTTACTTGGTAGACAGGTGTTCTACCACTTGGCCACACTTCAGCCCTTTTTGCTCTGGTTACTTTTGAGATAGAGTTTTATTGCCCAACAACATGCCTGGATCTTGATCTTCCTATATTAGTTAGGATGACAGACATACATCACCATGCCCAGTTTTTTCTGTTGAGATAGTGCCTCATGAACTTATTGCCCAGGATAGCTTGAAACCACAATTCTCTGGATCTCATCCTCCTACACAACTGATACGGCAGGCATGCATAACCAAGCCCAGTTGTTGCTTGAGATAAAGTCTTGCAAAACTCTTTGCTAAGGCTGATTTTGAACCATGGTTTCCTTTGATCTCTACTGCCTCAGTAGCTAGGATTACAGGTATGAGCCACAAAAATTGGCTTAAAAAAAGAAACAAAAACAAAAACAGGGTCTCACTCCTAACTCCCCACAAGGGCTGGCTTCGAATTCACAATTTCCTTCTTCTGATTCTTGACAGCTGGTATTAAAGGTATACACCACCACGTGTGGCTAAGTCAGTGCTTTTTTTATATTCCTTGTTTGTATGTCTTTGGAATCCAAGGCATATTTTAGATTTACACTCATGTCTCTCACTGTAGCTGCTGGAAAGCCACACGTGGCTGGTGGATCCTGTCCTAGACACAACAGAGCTAATCCCAAGAGCCTTCTTCTCAAAGAACAAATGACTCAGGGAGGGCTGCTGGGCTAATATGAGACAAGAGGAAAAGGAGAGGAGGCCTCAGGTTTGTGGCGGACAACTCACCGGCAGCTTCCCATGGTTAAGGATACTGCTCAAATAATTTTTGGCTTCATTTATCCTATGTTCATTCTTCTCCAGCAAAGGGATGGAGTCTTTTATTTTGGCATGGTTCTCCTTCAAATACTGTTCCAGGAGGGCCTCTGCCAGCAGCAATTTCCCAAAGTCATCTGAAAAACATGACAGGGATTAAAGTGGATGGTAATGGTCCTAACTCCCTTGAACAAAGCAGGTGGAGAGATGGTACACACTTGTGGACCCCCTACCCCTACCCCTGCACACAGCAACATGAACAGAGGCCTGAAAAAAAAAAAGAAAACATTTTCATAAACTGAAATACTTTTTAATCCTAGCTACTCAGGAGGCTAAGATCTGAGAACTGGGGTTCAGCCTGGGCAGGAAAGCCCATGAGGCTCTAATCTCCAACTAACCAGCAATGAAAATGCAGCTATGGCTCGCAGGCCAGCCTTGAGAGAAAAAGCTAAGGTACAGTGTCCAGGCCTTGAGTTCAAGCCCAGTACCAGCACCAAAACAATGGACAGTCTACCATAGTCACAACAGGAATTTGCCCCTTTGGGACTACTTTCTGTTGTAGCTCAGTAGACGAAAAGATAAGAGTTCTCAGGATAAATTCCTAGAATTTCAGAATTTAAAATGAAGGAAAAAAAATCATAATTATACCTTGCTGTAGGTAATAAGTTCTTAAACCAAAAAGACATTTTCTTCTCAAACTGAAGAGGAAAGTGATATGGGTGGTTAAATAATGCATTTTCACATGCTAGTGGTTTCTATGTAATCATAACTGGTTTGCTTCATTTAAAAGTATTTTAGTGCCGGGCTGTAATCCTAACTACTCAGGAGGCTGAGATCTGAGGATTGCGGTTCAAAGCCAGACTGGGCAGAAAAGTCCATGAAACTCTTATCTCCAATAAACCACTAGAAAACCAGAAGTGGCACTGTAGCTCAAGTGGTAGAGCACTAGCCTTGAGCTGAAGAGCTGAGGGACAGTGCTCAGGCCCCGAGTTCAAGCCCCACGACCGACAAAAAAAAAGTATTTTAGTGTGGCTCAAGGATAACTTGCAGCCAGAGCAAAGAGGAAAAGTAGAAAATAGAAGGTGGGATACACATTTACCTGTGCAGTAAGACAAATCTTTAAACTTGTTTAGTACTTGCACTTTTTCTCTTGTATTCAGCTCATATGCATACCTTACCACCTAACAGTGGCTTTGTACTATTTAGTTTGGGGTTTCCCCTACCACACTGAACTCCAGTCTTGTGGCCCACCACCTTATTCCCACTACCTGCAGCAGAGGTGATCTGGTATGGGAGTTAGGTGCTCTGTGTGCAGGGTTTGAGGTCAAGAGTAGTTTCATAACAGCCTCAGGTAGTTGTACTCATTGCCTCACCCCAGTACACAGGGTGAGGCCCAGCCTATCACCCAAGGCAAGAGCCAAATAAATACCTGTCGAGTGAATCAGATCCTCTCAACTCTCCAGAAAAGAAACCATCAGGATCCAATAATCTATCTAAGAATGTCTGCTCAGCCCACCTTTTCACAGTAGTTTTTTGGCTGTGAGGACAATGTCCTCAGATCTACCCAGGGGAGCCACTCCAACTCTCTTGTGATCACTGTTATTTGCCCCAGTCTCCAGGTCACCAAGTCTAAAATGGTATGCGTAGAATCTCCTGTGGACAGCAGTCCTAAGTCCAGAATTCCAGCTGTGCGGGTTCAGGAGAGTTTGCATTGGGAATGTTATTAGATACTCTGCTACCTTTTTTTTTTTTTCTGGTGGAGGTCCCAGGGCTTGAACTCAGGGCCTGGGCACTGTTCTTGAGCCCTGAGTCTCATGGGTTTTCCTGTCTGGACTGGCTTTGAACTGTGATCCTCAGATTGCAGCCTCCTGAATAGCCAGGATTATATTAGCCACTGAGGCCCAGCTATATCTCATGACTTAAAAAAATTTTTTTGTCAGCTGTGAGATTTGAACTCAGGGCCTAGGTGCTGTTCCTGAGATTTTATGCTAAGGCTAGTACTCTACCACTTTCAGCCACAGCTCTACTTCTGGTTTTCTGATGGTAACTGGAGATAAGAGTCTTACAGTCTTCCCTGCTGGGGCAGCTTTGAACTGGGATCCTCAGCTCAGCCTCCTGAGTTGCTAGATTACAGGTGTGAGCCACCAGCTTGGTAATCTCATGGTTTTTAAATGAACATTTTAACAAAATGTCCACAAATGCATCTGGTTTAAACTATTATTCAATACCCATAAAGCTTAAGTTGGCAGAACCTCAATGAAGGGCTACTTGATAACATTTTTTTTTCTCTCCATTGAGCCAGCAATTCCAGACCTATAGATGTCCAGGTACATGTAAACTGACCTGTGTATAAGGTAATTCATGCAGCATTATTTATACTAACAAAAAAGTAGAGGCAGTCTTTATGTCCATCAACAAGAGGCTATTTCAAGTATGATATGTCCTTAAAAAGGGACACCATGCAGCCATAAAACAGAATGAGGGGGGCTGGGAAGGTGGCTCAGTGGTAGAGCGCTTGCCTTGCATGCCTGAGGCCCTGGATTCCATTCCTCAGCACCACATAAGCAAAAAAGAAAAAAGCCGGAAGTGGCGCTGTGGCTCAAGTGGTAGAGCGCGAGCCTTGAGTTGAAGAGCTGAGGGACAGCGCCCAGGGACAGAGTTCAGGCCCCACAACCGGACCCAAAAAATAAATAAATAAATAACAGAATGAGGGTGCTCCATGTGTGCTGTTATGAAATTAAGTATAAGAAAAATTGATGAGACAGTGGATTACATGCAGTGACTGTAATACACCACTGCAGGTTTCTGTATGTATGTGTGGGTTACACACACACACACACACACACACACACACACATACACACAGGGCTGGGAAAGTGGCTCAGTGGTAGAGTGCTTGCCTTGCATGCCTGAGGCCCTGGGTTCGATTCCTCAGCACCACATAAGCAAAAAGAAAAAAGCCGGAAGTGGCGCTTTGGCACAAGTGGTAAAGCGCTAGCCTTGAGCTGAAGAGCTGAGGGACAGCACCCAGGCTGAGTTCATGCCCCACGACTAGACCCAAAAAAACAAACAAAAAAAAAACACATACACACACACAGAGCACAGAAACCTTGCTGACTGATGGGGAGCAAGAAAGGGCAATGCTTTTACATGTTCCCACTTTTTGGTATCTATGTAATGTTTGAACGGCATGAATGTATTATCCACCAAAAACCATATTTAAATCAAGCCAGGACTAAAAGGTAATCTTCCTCATTTCCAAATCTCAACCAGGGGCTGGGAATGTGGCTTAGTGGTAGAGCACTTGCCTAGCATTCATGAAGCCCTGGGTTCGATTCCTCAGTACCACATAAACAGAAAAAGCCGGAAGTTGGAAAAACAAACGAAGAGGTAGAACAATGCTCGATGGGAAATGTACTCATTATCTTACGCATGTAACTATAACCCCTCTGTACACTATTTCTACAAAGGCCAGGAGTGGCACTGTGGCTCAAGTGGTCAAGTGCTAGCCTTGAGCACAGACAGGCTCAGGGACATGCTCTGAGTTCAAACTCTAGGACTGGCAAAAAAAAAAATCTCAGGCAGGAGGAGGGATCTGCTGCCCAGAGTAGGTGCCTAGACCAGTTCCCTCTGGTAGCCTAAGCTGCATACCTCTGTGCAAGTTGTTGTCTCCCTCTAACCTGTACAACTTGTGTAAAACCTGGGGGAGGGATAGGAGTTTGCTCATATACAGGGAAACATCTTCCTGGGGATACTGGACTTGCTTCAGCCTCGGTCCCCAAGAGGGCCAAACCCTTTGCTCCTGGAACCTCTGCACTCATACTGTAGCTCTGCTGCAGCCACACCAATGCCCCCTCCCACACTGCCATCCGTCAAGCCACTCTATTCCCTCCACTATCCACCTGCCTGAACCCAGTCTTCCCGCATCTCCTTAGCTGGTGTCTTTTATGCCAAAAGAAATCAGCTTCCCTCCCAGAATGCACCTCTTCTTTCTTCAAAAACAATGGGAGTGTCCTCCCTCTGGCAAAGGTGTTCAGATACTTGTGGTACAACCCAGAGGGGATGAGTACAAAGCCTGGCAGTGTCCTGTAGACACTGGACAGAGTAATACTGATTTCACTGGGTTTACTAATAAAATGGGAAGTGGTAGTACCTTGTGTCCTCTTCTAACACCCTCCTTCTTCCTTCTCTCCCTCCCCCACTCCCACTCTTTTGTTTTGTTGTCCAGGAGCTTGAACTCAGGGCCTGGGCACTGTCCCTGAGCTTCTGTTGCTCAAGGCTAGCACTCTACCACTTAAGCCACAGCACCACTTCTGGCCTTTTCTATTTATGTGGTACTGAGGAATCAAACTCGTGGTTTCATGACTACTAGGCAAGCACTCTATCACCAAGCCACATTCTCAGCCTCCCCCACTTTTTTTTTTAATTAATGTCTTAGCATGTAACTGGAGATACTCCCAAATGTTCCTGACCCAGCTGGGATTATAGGCATGTACAACCACGCCAGGCTTTTCATTTCTTTAGGACTTCATTGAACTGTATTCTATGAAAGTAGTGTACAACAGATTAGAAACTGAAACAAAACCAATCCTTTACCACCAACTACCAGAGAAGCACTGCTGGTAACACTGAGTGACTCTGGCTGTGAAAGGGGGAACTGATCTTTGCTGAGGACTCACTAAGTGCCAGACACTTTACTAGATAGATCGTTGCTTTTTGTCTTTGTTTTTGCAGGTCCTGGAGCTTAAACAGGCCTAGATGTGTTTCTAGGCCTCTTTGTACTCAAAGGTAATGCTCTACTTACTTGAGCCACAGAGCTACTTCTGGCTTTTTCTGAGAAGTTTATTGGAGATAAGAGTCTCATGGACTTCCCTGCCCAGGCTGGCTTTGAGCCCCGATCCTCAGATCTAAGCCTCCTGAGTAGCTAGATTACAGGTATAAGCCGCTGGTGCCTGGCTAGATAGTTTTATTTAACCTAGGTAGGTATTATCCTATGAGTGATAATACAAGTTAGCTGTATTGTCAGGGTCACAGCCACTGCCCAAAAATAATCTCTCTGATATCTTATGTGGAGCAGAGCTTCTGGTAATTTACAAATAAAGAACAGTTCAGATTCATAAAGAGTAAGGTAAAAGCT